CAAAGGCTCCATTTCCCTATTTCCTGTTATCTGTCTTTTAACGAAAACTAAAAAACAAAAACAAAAACAAAACCCTCCTATTATCTATCTTTTGTTTTGCTTTTTATACTTGGGCTTCTCACATAAGGGAAACCTTCTGATACGTAAGCTTGTGTGTCTGATTTATTTCACTTAATACTATGGTCTCAAGATGCATCAATTCCATACAGACGACTCAAATTTACCCTTCTTTATGGCAGAGCAGTGACTTGCACGGTGCAGAGCGCGCACCGTCGGCATTCAGGGCATTCAGGATATCGTAGCTGGTGACCGGCTCCTCCTGGCCTGTTTGTCCCCGAGGTCAGGGGCTGTATTTCATTCAACTTCCTGTTCCCACTCCTAGCTCAGCTCCCCGTCAAGGGCCTTGGCGACCTCTGCAGCAGGGAGAGGAGAGGCCGGGCTGGCTGCGGGTGCTCAGCTCCCGGAGCAGAGGAGCTGCAGCTCTGCCGGGGCCTGGAGAGTTCCGGGTGTTCTCGCTCAAGGCTGTCTTGGAGCTGGTGGGGACACTGCAAAGAGAGGTCGCGCCTGTCCCCACGCAGCATTCGCAGGGCGTCAGTGACTCACCAGAGGGTCAGGGATGATTGCTTCATTCATTCATTCACTCATTCAGCCGTTCAGGGGTGAAAGATGGGCAGAGCAGACAGGCGCTAGGAGCACCCTTGCCAGTCCCACCCAGAGGCCACACTTGAGAAGGAAGGGCCCTGACCCTCCCGGGCCTGCTACCTCCTCCACCTGCTCCTTTCCACCCCTAGGTCTCTCTCAATGCCACCTTCTCAGAGACCTCCCCGCGCTCCCACCCTAAAAGTGCTGCAAAGCGCTTCTAGCGCACAGCCTTGGGGTGGCTTCTTCACTCAATTCTCACACAAGCCCTTTCCCACTTCCCAGCCCTCTACTAAAAGGCACCTCCCAGAGCTTGAGGCCCTGCCCATCTTCCTCCCTTGCTGCATTCTCCACACATTGCTCTCTCGATGCCAGGCACCTAGGACTGCATGTTGAATGAGTAAATAAATGAAATCCAGGCTCTGTCTTTCAGCAGATGTATGGCCTTGGGTTAATTAACTTGCCTCTCTGATCATCTGTAAAACTGGCATTAAAATACTGTAGTCATGAGGCTCAAATGAAATTCAGATCTTCGTCCATACGTTGGTATGCTACTGTTAGCCATTCAGCTGCCCAAAGACAGAGTTCATGCCTATCCAAACTTGAAAGATGCTGTGAAAGGTCCTTTAGAGAAAAGGGCTTCTGTCTCCAACCTTACACTTTCCCAGCAAGAATATTAACTTTTTAATTTCATATCTCTGAAAGCAAGATTTGAAGGCCCTGGGTTCATGAAGCTTTCTGTGGGCAAACTCTACACGCCAGGCACTGTGCTGAGCCAGGACAATGCCACTCAACACCGGAGGAACCCAGAGTCTGGGGCCAGGAGGTGGGGATACCGGTAACAGAACCAGGCGGGAGACAAGAGACGGAGGAGAGGACTCTGCCCAGCGCTGGGGACACATGGAGAAGGTGCTGTGCTCAGAGGTCACTGAAGCATTGCACAAAGCTTTTCTGAGGACCAACCAGTGGTAAGTACCATTCTGGGTGCTGGAAGGACAAGAGAGGACAAGACACATAAGGTCCCCACCCTCCTGAGGAGACAGGAAATAAACAGGACAATCTGCAGTAGAGATAAATGCTGGGAACCCAATAAAACACTAACAGGATATGCAGAAAAATTAAACCCAGCACTCCAGCAGCTGGGCCTGGAACATCTTTCTGGGCCTCTGCATCCTCATCTGTGCAACGTGCATGACGGGTCCCCACTCCCAGGGCTCTGGTAAGAAGTACACTGGAGGAACTTATGCCCCCGGAATACCACCAGGCTGGCCACAAGCCCTGTGTAAGCCACTGAGAGTGAATGAGGGCTAGGTGAGGTGACAGAGAGAGTAGCAGGGAAATGCCTGTCCCACGAGGGCCCAGGCTCGTGAAGAGCCTGACAGGAACTGGACTCCCAGCACTGGAAGACTGCAGGTGACGGTCTTGAGGCAGGGGTCTAGAGGCAAGGTATGACGCAGGAAGAGGAAGTGCCGACGAAGGGCTGCTCCTCAGAGCCTTGCAGGCCAGGGAGGAGGATGGGACAAAGGGAAGCCACTGAGGGATTTCTAGGTGGATGTGGGGGGTGGGTCGTGGTCTGATTTGATGTAAAGGAGGGTCAACCAACTACCCTGTGGAGAAAGGAGTGGGATGGACAGAAAGACAAGCACAGGAGTGTCAGCTGGAAATAAGCGAGATCTCCCACCCAAGATCAGGGACCCACTACTGAGGAGACAGGACACTCCAAATCCTCCGTCTGGAAGGAGTGGGTAGGGCTGTCTGGGATAGAATACGGGAATGGTGATTAAACTGACACGAGAGAGAGGCTGCTGCAGATGGCCTTGCAAAAGAAAAAAAGAAAAAGAAGTAAAAAGAAAAATAAGATACGAGTCAAACAATTCAACAAAAGTACATCTCTCCTTATGTTTTAGAACACGTTAGTTTACCGTGGTTCTTAATTACACTAACATTTGTTGAGTATTTATGTGAACAGAGTAATGTGCTAAATTCATTTTCTCATTATATCTCATTACATCTTCGTATCCATTACACAATTCAACAAATACCTATTACCAGACACCATTCTAGTTGAGAGACATAAAGCGCCTACCACGAGCTTCCACCTCAAGGGAAAGCTAGGCCTAAACAAAGAAACAACCAATAGGGCCAGGTATTTAGCTCAGTGGTGCTGCACCTTCCTCACAAGCACAAGGTCCTGAGTTCAATTCCTGACATGAGGGGCAAACAATATTTCAGAGAGCCATGAGAACTATAAAGCAAGCAAAGCTGAGTAAGGGGGTGAGGAGAAGTGGAAGGAAAAATAGGTATTTTAGAAATGTGGTCAGAATGGACTTCCTTGAAGAATCGACTTTTTTTCCCTGGCAGTCCTGGGATTGAACCTAGCACCTCACACATACTAGACTAAAACACTACCACTGAGCCACATACCAGCCCAGGAAGTAACTCACGAACAGACAGATAATGGGACTAAGGCTGCCATGGGTAAACCTGGGGGAAAGAACAGCAAGGACAGAGTCCCACTGAGAGAATAAGGCATTTAAAGTGCAAAAGGAGACCAAAGTGGCCAGAATAGGGTGAGCAGAGAATGGCAAGATGTGAAGCTGAAAGGCAGACAGGGACCAAACAAGACAGGAAGACCAAGCAGGCAAATGGGACGCTGTTGATGATGGTGAACAGACTGCTTCGCCCACCAAGAAGAGAAGCAACATGAGAAGTGCAGGAGTGGATCCAAGCAGAGGGGAGGTGATGGTAAGAAATAGCATTCAAGATGCAACTTGAAAGTAGGATAGAGACCTACAGTGGAATAATGAACAGAAAGCCCCAGTGAACAGGTTTGGCGCTGAGCATGATTCACCAGTACCACCACAAACAAAAATTAGGAAAATTGGGGCTGGGGATGCAGCTCAGTGGTGCCACACCTGCCTAACAAGCACGAGGTCCTGAGTTCAATCCCTGGTACAAAAAAATTACGAAAATTGGAAGATAGCAGACTGAGAATTAGTGGAAATAAATGATAGTTGCTATGATAGCAACATTCTCATTTTAAATAGAAACAGTTTAGAGGAGTCAAATAACCTGTCCCAGTTCGCCCAGCTTGTAAAGAGGAATTACCATAAAGTAGAATTTACTTTAACATATATTTTACCCTTTATTATCTCCAGTTTACAGAGAAGGAAACCGAGGCCGAGATGTGAAGGCCAGACAGCTAGGAGGGGCAGGACCTAAACATCCGATTTAATCAGACCATTTTCCAAGAGACCAGCTGGAAAACTGGTAAGGAAACCTGGGGTTCCGGCGGAATGGGTTTCAATAAAATCACGTCTTTGGATTCCGTCGTTTGAAATTTCCAAAGATTCCAGGAGGACACCATGGAGAGGACACCACTGTCACCAACTCAGAATCACAAATGCTAATTGAAATGTCCGTTCCTGGATTGCAGCTTAGATACACCGTATTTGACTATCAATCTGTGGAAGTGAGTTCAGGGATATCCACTTTTTAAATTAGCGATCGAGAAGTCTTCGTCGGCCGATTAAGTTTGAGAACTGTGGAATTAGTTTAAACCTAAGCAACCATTCCTGAAACTAGTTAGCTGCGTAGGCTACGCCGTCCACTTGACACCGCTGAGCTTCCGTTCCCCTCGGTGTCAAGCAGGTACCAAAGACGATCTCTGCCAGAGACACCCTGCCTCCCTTTTGCAGGGCGATTCAAATTACGAAACTGATAATAAGGTGCTGGGGACCGCGGGGTATTCTGGGAAACAAAGGGCCCAGGTTGCCGTGAAGCACTGTGGGACACTGCGGGGTGCCAGCGGCTTCTCGACTCCGGCTTCGCTTACACCCAGGGCAGCCACATTTCAATTCCGGACGCCCTTTGTGGGCGGCGTGGATGCCGCCTGACGTAATCACCCACCTCAAGACGAGGCGCCTCAGTGGCTAGTATGAGACACCCACAAGAAAGCAGAGGCGGATTTCCGGACGTACCTTCCCTTTACGGATCGTGGGCTCTTCCGCCGAATCCGCGGGAAGTAGAAAGGCAGTTTACGACAGCGCCGGTCGTGTTTACGGCGCCGGCTTCTGCGCGCGCATGTTCTCTCCTCTCCCGGTTCTTCGGAGTGCTGCAGGTAGCGCTTTTTCTGTCCCGGATCATCTGTCGCCATCCAGGCCTCCCGGGGCCGTTGCAGGTGAGTGGTGTGTTTCGTGGGGTCCTGTGGCTCTCTGGAACTAGCTCAGACTAGACCTGGTCTTCGGGGGGGGGGCTCCCGGAAGAGACCTGTCTTACGTCCCCTGCTGTCGTCGCTGTCCCTCCGCTGGGCGGGGCAGGAATCGGTTTTCGGTGTCCCCAGTTGGGCAGGCTGAGGCTTGCGGGTCACTGCCAAGTGTATGAGGTCCTTCGCCTTAGTCTCCGCTCAAAGGCCATGTCGCTTAACCCAGCCGGGTCACAGGATATTTTCAAAGGAGCCGAAGGGTCCATGAGTTTCTCAGTGGGGTATTACGAGCGTCAAGCTGAGCGTGTTCGGCCCTTGTTCCGAGGAGTTCAAGTCTGAAGATTTCCTTCCTGTTCTGTGAGGTGGACGGCTGTTAGTCTCTGAGTCTCGGGTCTGAAATTAACCCCATCTCTAGCCCAAGGATTAATGGCCTTCGATTTGTAGTGATAGTAATCTACACATTACTGTAACTTGCAAGCCACAGGCCTCCCCAACCTGCCCGTGTGGCCAGTACAGCTGTCACATTGTTTTAGCTGAATGGTTCAGTTTTTCTCGTGGTTCTTTTGTATTTGCTGACGCCAAAGGGCATCATTTCTCGATTCTCCAAGGAGATGATGAACACCTTGGGTCTGTTCCTCATCTTGCTTCTGACAGCTGGATTTTGAAAGTATCTTCAGGACGTCATTGCTATGTTGTTAGGTATGGTCTAAAAACCCCAGATCAAGCTACTGCCTAACTATAATAGAAAGAAAGCCAGACTTATAACCCTGGAAATCAAATCTGTTTTTGAAGTTTTGGGTAGATCAACTGCTTGGTTTAGCTCAGCTTTAAATTATCTCCTAAATGGAAAGGTGGGGCGCTTACTGTTTTTAAAGTACCTGACATATGGTGTGAGATTAATAAATGTTTTTTGGGTTGTTTTTTTTTTTTGGTACCTGAGATTGGACTCGACCTTGCACTCACAAGGCAGGCAAGGCACCGAGCTAAATCAGTACGTTTTCTTAACATCAATAGCTTTGAGACCATTGGTCCTTCCCTTCTGTTCTTTCTATAGCTTAATTTTAAGTTCAGATTTACAGGAAGCAGCTCCCAGCTGTACTTCCTGTTGCTGTCACCTAAGTGTCATCTCTGTAGAAAGCCTACATCACCAAGGGGCATTTGGGAGACGTTACTAAGTTCAGCATACCTGTGGTCTGATTGCTCTCCAGCTGTCAGGAGATAATTTATATAATTAATTTCTACTGGGAACCCACCTGAGCGTTTTCAGAGTTTTGTCACGGATCAAGCAAACACCTGTATAGAGCTGCTGGTTTTTGCTTTGCTGAGATGAGCTGCACCATTACACAGAGTATGGGGTTCTGGAACCACACTGCTTGGGTTCCAATTTTTCATCAGCTAGCATTGTGACTTTGGGTGATTTCTTAATTTCATAGTGCTTTGGTTTTCTGGAAAATGGGGGTATTTACCGGCTCCTACTTCACAAGTTTATTGGGAGTATTTAGAGTTAATGCATACATGAAAGGCCCAAAGAACGATGCCTAATACTTGTAATACTTAGTATTTGACATACAGCCACTTTTGGCCTAAGACAGTAGTGAACCCGTGGCACATGTGCCACAGTGGGCTGTTTGCATCATTGAATGCTCCAAATGGTTCACTATCCCTGGCCTAAGATTTATGGTGACCTCCTTGGCCATTTGGCAGCTCTTTTGCCTGGCTCTGGGTCCACTTGCTCTGCACGTAGGATTTACATTGATAGTATAAATTTGGAAGAACAAGAAAGAAAGATTGAATTTAAGGGGAGAAGTTCAGATCCTCTTAAGAGTAGAAAGAATTTTACTGCGAGAATGATACCTTCTAAGAGAGACAGAAGGGGGCCTGGAAAGTGGGTTTCCCCCCAGATCCTCTTTAAGTACTCTGTGTATATAAATGTATACTTGCAGGTATTAATTGTGTGGATTTATTTTAAAAGCATTTTCATGTCCGTTACCTAACAAGATTTTCACAATGATCTCATGGTATGAATTGTTATTTATTTCGTAGATGAATACACTGAGGCTCTGGAAGTTAAATGATGTATGCTTTAGTGAGGACACTGTGCTTTCTGAAAACTAAACACTGGTTGTTACATGTGAAAAAATGTTGTTAATGAAATCTGTAAGACACCACTCAAGAAACACGATTATTTTAAGTAACACTAAGAAAGACAAACTGCTGATTGTTGACACCCCATCGAGTGTAAGGTGCAGGCTCATTTCAGAGCTGGTACCGTAAAAACAAGAGGGTGACCTAGGGAATTAAGGAAATGTGGTAAATCAGTTTTGTTTTCTGAGTTTTACATATTCAAATTATTTATAAAACATTGTTAGTAGCTCAGTAGTTGAGGGTTCTGTTTTGTGTACTATGTTTTGAATTTTAGTATTTAGGTCTTTACTTATTCTATATAGCGGGTATTTTGTACATTGGGCCCTTTCTTCACATTATTTGTTTTTTAAAGTTCTAGAAGATGGCGAAGTTCATGACACCTGTGATCCAGGACAACCCCTCAGGCTGGGGTCCCTGTGCAATTCCCGAGCAGTTTCGGGATATGCCCTACCAGCCATTCAGCAAAGGAGACCGGCTAGGAAAGGTACTTACCTTCAGGAGGAGTCTGAATCTTTCAAGCTTCCGCTGCCACTTTCCATGAATTCCTGTTTTGGTTTTGTTTTGGTTTTTGTTTTTGTTTTTTTTTTTCTCAAAAGATTACCTTAGCTTCTATGTTTCCTGCAGAGATAGCAGCTGAGAAGAGGTCTGACCTCTGAAAGTCGTTTCAGGAGGGCTGGGCAGGTCACTTACAAAGGCATTGGGAGCTACTTGTGATACTTTGCCACACCCCCTTGTTTTCAGGGTTGTCTGGGACAACAGAAACTTGCCCCTTTGACCTGTGCATTCTCTTTCTTCATGTCCTTAATAGGTTGCAGACTGGACAGGTGCCACGTACCAGGATAAGAGGTACACAAGTAAGTGTTCTTCGGTGGCTGCCCAAATCAGGGCCTCAGAATTGTTATTCTTTCTTTTTGGTTTTTGAAACAGGGTCTCGCTATGGAGATCAGGCTGACCTTAAACTCACTGTGTAGTCCCAGTTGGCTTCAACCCTCCTGCCTCAGCCTCCCAAGTGCTAGTATTATAGGCATGCACCACCACACCTGGCTGTTGCTTCATCTGAAAGCTTTCTAGAAAGGAAAAGAAGCACTGACAATCACTGATAATTTTAAGGGTATATTCTGGATTGTAATAACCAGATTTTTGGAAGTAGCCTCAAACTTCATTAAAGAGGACATTTTCATTGAAGTTTTGTCCCACTTTCTCAAAGTCTGTTGAACACATTGCCATTTTGCATGCAATTGATTGGTATTTCACTTCCAGAGCCAGTCAGTGAACTCTGGGTTTAAAACTCCTGGTTTTAAGATGCTGGTAAGGTTAAAAAGACTTTTTCTCTGTGCCAGTTAAGGTTGTTGGAAGTGGCTGTCTGACATACTAAATTAAGATCTCTAAGTGGGACATGGTGGCAATATCTGTAATCCAAGCACTCTGGGAGGCTGAGGAAGGAGGATTACAAGTTTCGAGCTCACCATAAGCTAATTAGCAAGATCAGTCTCAAGATTTCAAATGGTATTAGGGTGTAGCTCAGTGCAGAGGCTGTAGGTTTCAATCCCCAGAGATATCTGGGGCTTAAATCAATAAGAAAGTGTTTACCTGACCTGTCTCAGCTCTTTAGACCAGCGTTTCAAACTTGAAAGTGCTCATTAACCACCTGGGGATCTTGCTGGTTCTGATTCAGTAGGTGTGGGGTGGGATTGTGAGCCTGCACACCTTACAAGTTCCCTTCCAGTGAGTTGTCAGAACGGTGCATGTGTGTGCAGCTGTGGTAGTAGTTGTTACACGCTGTCGTCTGTGCTTCCAGATAAGTACTCCTCTCAGTTTGGTGGTGGAAGTCAGTACGCTTATTTCCATGAGGAGGATGAAACCAGCTTCCAGCTGGTGGATACAGCACGCACACAGAAGACTGCCTACCAGCGGAACCGGATGCGGTTTGCACAGGTGGGCCAAGGGCTGACAATCCGACCGTTTTGGGGCTTTTAGTTGGTGAATATCCTACCTTGTGAATACTAAGGAGAGAGGACAGCATACCATAGTTTTCTAATGAATCCCAAGTGGTGGTTCTGTGAAAAACTTGTACCGAAGTAAATGTACAGGACCAAGGTTTAGTTTAGATTTCTGTTCCAGTAGCTTGGACATCCAATGAATGGGTGTTTGTGGTGGATAAAAGATTCAGGGTACCTACTACCTCACTTTATTGCTATGTCCACACTTTATTAAGAAGATGGTCCGTTTGGGCTGCGCCTTATATATAAAGAGACAAACTCAGCAACCTACCTCGGTAGAAAGTATGCTGGGAATACAAATGTAAGCTAATTTCCTACTAAAACTCTCAGACTGTGGATGAGACAGAATAAAGCACGCAGATGTGCCACTTGGGAGTTTTACATCCTGAACTTATTCTAAAAATTTCCCAATTCCCCTACCTATCATAAGCCAAATCTCTAAAATCTTAAACATGAGTGTTTTCTTCCCAGCGGAACCTCCGTAGAGACAAAGATCGGCGGAACATGATACAATTCAACCTGCAAACCCTGCCTAAGAGTGCCAAGCAGAAAGAGAGGTGCGATTGTCTCCTGCTAGAGCAAAGGGTGCTTCCTAGATCCCGAACCCAGAAGTCAGTGGGATGGGGGAGCTCGAGGGTGGCCATTTCCTCACCACTGAAAAAAGTGAAAAAAAATTCCTAAAGCTACTTAATGCCACCATTTAGCCTGTTATTTCAGCAGGCAAGTTAGGCAGGAAGCTGCCTCCTGGTGGTGGACATGTGCACTGAAGGGACACGAAATGCCTTGTCTCTGCTCAGACCTGCAGAGCACAGCTCTAGGAAATCCCATTTAGGCTGTCCTGTGCAGCCCCTGGGCTGTGAGTACAGCAGCCCCAGCTTGGGGCTGCCAGGGACAACCCTGCACATACAGCTAGTCGGTGTGTAGGGGCCCCATCTCGTGTTTGCCCATGTGGTGTCTTCTGTAAACCCGTAACTCAGGAGTCAAGGATGATGATGTGGTTCTGCTTGGGAAGGGCAGTTTCTGTCTTTTAAAAAAGCCACTGACTTAAAGATCTGCACTGAGGTCTCCATATCTTGCCTTTCAGAGAACGCATACGACTGCAGAAGAAATTCCAGAAGCAATTTGGAGTGAGGCAGAAATGGGACCAAAAGTCACAGGTAGTGAATCCATGCCAGAATTCTGTCTGGGGGCTTGGTTTTTGTGTCTGTAATAGCTTTGAGATGTGATTCATACACTATGCTGTTGAGTGACTTTTCGTATATTCAGATTTGCACAACCATTACTATAGTCAACTTCTGATCATTTTCATCAGCCTAAAAAGAAATTCTGTACCCTTCAGCATTCCCCACTACCCCATCACCCCAGCCTTAGGCTTTTTATCTCTGTATTTTCCTGTCCTGGTCATCTCACATAAATGGAATCATGTAATAGGTGTTCTTTTAGTGTCCTGTTTTCAGGGTCCATCCATGTTACACCATGCATTGGTACAGTCTTGGTATCCATGGAGGGTTGGTTCCAGGATGCCCCAAGAATACCAAAATTTGCACTTATCTTCTCTTCCAAAAAATACCACAGTATTTGCATATAACCTAAACACATCCTCTCATACATGTGTGACCATCTCTGGATTATTTAGGCTGAATATCCCCTTACCCAAAATGCTTGGGAGCAGAAGTGTTTCCAATTTTGGAATAGACTTATTGGTTGAGCATGCGTAATCCAAAATCAGAAATGCTCTCAAAACAGAATCTTTGAGCTTCCTGTCACATTCAGTTTTGGGTTTGGGGGACATTTCAGATTTTTGGGTAAGGGACGGTCAACCTGTAATGTCCAATACATTGTTGACATGTGCATGTTATGTAAGAAGGTTTTGTACTGTATTCTTTAGCAAATACCAACAAGAAAAAGGAATGTATACAGATGTGTTTTTTCCCCAGGATGTATTCACCCTTTTTTTTCCCTCTTTGTTGTATATGTATTTGTGTAGTTCTGAGATAAGGTTCACTTGCATGAGTTGGTTTTGAACTCCTGGCTCAAGTGATTCTCCCCCTCAGCCTGTAGCTCCACAACTGGGACTCTAAGGGCACCCACCTCTCCCTCTAAATATTTTCAGTTTACAGTTGGTTGAACCTGGGGTGTGAAACCCACGTATTGGAAGCAGGTTATACTTTATTCTTTTCTTGTTGTCCGATAAAATAGCCTTTTATGGATATATCACATTTTGTTGAGCCATTAGCCAGTTGGTGGACTTTGCATTTGTTTCCACTTCCACACTGTTAGCAGTATTGCTCCTGTGGGTATCGTGCAAATAGTAGACCCAGGTAAGCAAAAGTGAAGTTAGAGTTGTGGAAGTTACACTTTGTTGGATGCAATGCTTGCCGCATCTAGAATAGTTTTCTTTTTAATTTTTTAAAAAGAATACATAGTTAATACCCTGAATTATAAAGGTGTCCTACATGTTCCCTAAGTGATGTCATCCTCTAAGAGTGAAATTCTCTATTTTTGAACTCCAGATTCCTTCAGTCTTTCTGGATTATGAGGTCCTATGCGGCAAGGATTCTCTCTTCTGCTTAATCATTTGTATGGGCTGTAAGTTTTTTCCTCAAATGTTTTTCCACTACAGAAACCCCGAGACTCTTCAGTTGAAGTTCGTAGTGACTGGGAGGTGAAAGAGGAAATGGATTTTCCTCAGTTAATGAAGATGCGCTACTTGGAAGTATCAGAGCCACAGGACATGTAAGTAGCATCTTTTACTGCTCCTAGGTATGTGGACCAGCTGGTGATGGCTGTTTCCCTAAGCCCTAGTAATTCCAAAAATAATTAGAAGCCACTACTCAAAAGACAATGCATAAGATTGGTGGATATACTTTAAAAAAAAAAAATCAGTGGGAAAAGCACAAGGAAATTTACTAATACTAAACTGCAGATTTCTTGCAGTGTTTTGGAATCCTGAGGAAAGAATAAATAAAATTAAGGCATATAGCTTTTGTAGAGAAAGGAAGGAAAGAAAAAAATTGCCGATACTATTTTGAGCTTCCTGGCTTCGTGGCCGGCAGCACAGCAAGGTTAAGTTATAAATTGTGTGGGCAGAAAGGGACTCAGCAGACCTGGGGAAACTGCTTCAGGGGTCCATCGCCTCAGGGCGGGTGGATGGAACTAGCTTTGGGTAACCAGAGCACCAGGCGGGGACCTCACTGGCTGTTGCTTTCTCTGCCTCGGCCTCCCCGTCTATAAAGTGGGGATGTGTTTGCTGTGTGCTGCAGCAAGGGACTGAACAGGCACAGAGAATTTGTCTCATGTAGTAAGAGGTTTCGTTCCTCTGTCTCTTATGTTAGGCTTCTTGAACAACACTCTGGTTCCATTCCTTAAAAGAAAACGGGGGATCCTTGTGTTTGACTTCCTCTTGCCTGTTCTCCCCGCAGCGAGTGTTGCGGGGCCCTGGAATACTATGACAAAGCGTTTGACCGTGTCACCACAAGGAGTGAGAAGCCACTGCGGAGCATCAAGCGCATCTTCCACACGGTCACGACCACTGACGACCCTGTCATCCGGAAGGTGTGCGCCCCACCTGTCAGGAAGGCTGCTAGCTTCTACAGCTGAGGCTCAGAGAGAGCAGAGGTCATGGGAACATGCTGTACAGGCGTCCCTCATATCCACTGGAGCGGGGGGGGGTGCTTAAGATCCACCCCACACCAAAATACCCGCATGTTCAATCCCTTAAATAAAATGGGGTAGAATTTGCATATAACCTGTGCCTGCATATCCTCCTATACACTTCAAATCATGTCTAGATTATTTAATAAGAAAGCATAAGCCGGGCATGGTGGTGCACACCTGTAATCGCAGCACTTGGGAGGCTGAGGCAGGAGGATCGCTGTGAGTTCGAGACCAGCCTGGGCTACATAGTGAGTTCCAGGTCAGTCTCAACCACATAGTGAGACTTTGTCTTAAAAAAAAAAAAAAAAAAAAAGAAAAACATAAATGTGCTGGCCATGGTGGTGCATGCCTGTGATCCCAGTACTTGGGAGGCTAAGGCAGGAGGATCACCACAAGTTGAAGGCCTTGTCTCAAAAATAAAAATGACAAAAAAAAAAAAAAAAAAAAAAAAAAAAAAAAAAAAGAAAGAAAGAAAAGACAAATGCTCTATAAATAGTTGCTATACTGCACTATTTAGAGAGTAATGACCAAAAAAAAGTGTACACATCAACAGTATTAGGGGATTTTTTTTCCCTTTACTATTTGGTTGGATCTGTGAGTGCAAAACACACAGATACAGATAGCAAACGTATGTTTACAGTTTTGGTCCTCAGATACTGCTGTTTGGTGGACCTGAGTCTGAGCTAAGGGAGGGAAGGGTGCATCCTTCCTACTACGTGAATGACAGTTAGACCTCAGTATTTCACACCTTCCTCTCTCCTTGTAGCTGGCAAAAACTCAGGGGAATGTGTTTGCCACTGATGCCATCCTGGCCACACTGATGAGCTGCACGCGCTCAGTGTACTCCTGGGACATCGTAGTCCAGAGAGTCGGGTCCAAGCTGTTCTTTGATAAGAGAGACAACTCCGACTTTGGTAAGGAGCCTGCCTCAGGAGCAGATCAGACTCCATGCATATTCTTGTTCCAGAACAATTCCCTGATGTCGAGAATGAACAGGAAATGGTGTCTTCCCTGGGGCCTGGGCTGCATGTCTGAATCCCTCCCACCCCTCAGGGACATGGAAGTGACTGTCCCTAAGCACCCCCACAAGGTTTCAGCTTTCTGGGTTCTCACATATTAAAAGTGATGCCACTTTGGCCGGGCGTGGTGGCGCACGCCTGTAATCCCAACACTCAGGAGGCTGAGCCAAGAGTATCGCTGTGAGTTTGAGACCAGCCTGGGCTACATAGTGAGTTCCAGGTCAGTCTCAACTACATAGTGAGACCCTGTCTCAATCCCCCACAAAAAAAGTGATGCCACTTTCTGTCATTAGGCAGTACCTAAGGTTCTCTGGGAACACCAACTCCTATCACGTGCCCCACTGGGGGAACCCCCATTAGTAGAAGGCAGCTGAGGAAAGGACCACTGGAATGGGGCTCCACATCTCCCGGGTGCTCTGCATGTTGTCTGTGGCCCTTATGTAGATGGTGACTATGTTCCTCCTTTTCTAGACCTCCTGACAGTGAGTGAGACGGCCAATGAGCCCCCTCAAGATGAAGGTAATTCCTTCAACTCACCCCGAAACCTGGCTATGGAGGCAACCTACATCAACCATAATTTCTCCCAGCAGTGTTTGAGGATGGTAAGGAAGTACACGTGGGTGGGCCTTGAGGGGTTTATATGGTCAGTCACCTGCTAATGAGCGAGCATCTGCTTTGCGCTGGGCTTGGCATTGAGGATTATGCGGGACAGCTAAAGTCCCTGCCTATAGCAGATTAAAAGCTTGGGCTCTGACCTCTGGCTGCCTGACTTTGAACCACTGGTCCACTAGTTACAGTCGGATGATTCTTGTCTCCCATGGTGAATTCATACTCTGTTGTGAGCAAATATATCCTTCAAAAAGAAAAGAAAGTTCTTGCCCTCAGGCAGCTTGCTGCAGCAGAGTAGATACTAAATTGATGTTCTCACGTAGCAGTCTGCAGCAATGAAGAGAGCACCAGGGAGGGGCAGAGCTGCTAACGTTAGGATTCTCTGGGTGCTGAGAGTCGGGAGGAGGAAAATAGGCATAAAAATCCAAGGTCCCAGGGAGCTGGCCACTGACTGAGCAGTGCTAGGTCTGGCTGACTGGACTTGAGAACATCATTGGCACTGTCTTGTAACAGCTTTGTCATTTTTGCAGGGGAAGGAAAGATACAACTTCCCCAACCCAAACCCGTTCGTGGAGGATGACATGGATAAGAACGAAATCGCCTCTGTCGCTTACCGGTACGTCGTCTCCCTGGTGGGGAGCACAGACCCCACCCGGGTGGGTGATACCCCTGAGCAGAGGACCCCGGCTGACACGTAAGTTTCTCTTCCGTCACAGTTACCGCAGGTGGAAGCTTGGCGATGACATTGACCTTATTGTCCGCTGTGAGCATGATGGCGTCATGACTGGAGCCAATGGGGAAGTGTCCTTCATCAACATCAAGACACTCAACGAGTGGGACTCCAGGGTGAGGTGCTACCCGTCACCCTCCTCGTGCCACCATTCGACCTTTTGTTACACACAGTGCTACCTAAGGGGGGTTATCTTGTGGGTTTTTTTCCCCCCACCTAGTTCCTCAGTGACAGAGAACAGTGACCTTGTGTTTTAAGAACTTCCTGCTTATTTTGCACACCAGAACCAGTGCCTTCCTCCCAACACACTCTTCTCTGTTCTGATCTGACCTTCCGCTGGTGTCTGCTGTGTGTGCAGCTGGCTTTGATCTCTTTGTTATCCGGGTCGCCAGTTCTGCACACCTTGCGGTTCTCTTTACTCCAGCCGCTGCCTCTCTTCGCCTTTCAATTCCTTTATCCAATTCCTTCACTTACTAAACTTGGAGATGCTGAGATGTACTAAGAACAGACCCCTGGGAGGCACCTTGAAAGAAGCCTGTCCTCTTGCATTCTACCTCCTACCTTTGTTTGGCTCTGTTGCCACTGTACAGAAGGACACAAGACAGCGCAGCTTGGCGCCCGCTGCACTGAGCGGCTCTCTGAAGGTGTGGTAGAGGGGTCTTTCAGTCCTGCTTCCTTGACATCGTGCCTGCTGAGCTGTGGCTGGGGCTGGACTCCACTGTGAGCTCCAAGTAGCACCTGTGTTTCTTCGCCCTGGGTATCGCTGCATCATTTTGGGCTTGCACATCTGCTCCCTTCACCTGCTGTCTGCTGAGTCCCCGTCCTTTTTCACTCCCAAAGGAGCCGCCTTTTAGGTTCAGTCGCCTCTGCAGCTCTCCTTGCCCCAAGCACTAACCCTAATACAGGCTTGTATTCGTGTTCCTGAACTTTACAACATGTTAACAGAAACAGTGGCTTCAAGCAACACCTTTTTATTAGCTCCTAGTGTTTGGCAGAAGGGGCCACACCTTGTGGTTTTTTTTCTCTTTGGGGATTCTAAAGGCTGAAATCAAGGGATCAGAACTGAGAGCTCTGTGAGTTGTAGAAGGAAAGCTGCTGGTGCTCGTTCTAGCTGCTGGCAGGGTTCATTCTTCCAGTTGTACAACTGGGGCCCCTGGTGCTTTCTAGTTGTCAGCTGGGGGCACCTCTGAGCTCCTAGAAACCACCTTATTCCTTGTCCCCACCCCCCAATGCCAGCAGTGACACAACAAATCCTTGGCCCTGACCTCTACACCCAGATCCCTCCTGTGGCTGGGGAGGCCCGCCCAGTCCGAACTGCTGGCTGTCTGGCTGCCTTTGCCCCTGACCGCCTTCCTCCTGCAGCACTGTAATGGCGTTGACTGGAGACAGAAGCTAGACTCGCAGCGTGGAGCCGTCATTGCCACTGAGCTCAAGAACAACAGCTACAAGCTGGCTCGGTGGACCTGCTGTGCTCTGCTGGCCGGGTCCGAGTACCTCAAGCTTGGGTGAGAATCCCATCCAAGGCCAAGGACTGACCTGGAAGAGGCTATGGGGTGATGGCGTGGCTCTTCCCTTCTCAGGGAAAGCATCGCCATTTGACCCCAGGGTTGCTGTCCCTGTGCTGCCCTGTCCCGACCACTTACCTTCTCCCTGCAGTTATGTGTCCCGGTACCATGTGAAGGACTCCTCACGCCATGTTATCCTGGGCACCCAGCAGTTCAAGCCCAATGAGTTTGCCAGCCAGATCAACCTGAGCGTGGAGAACGCCTGGGGCATCCTGCGCTGCGTCATCGACATCTGCATGAAGCTGGAGGAGGGCAAGTACCTCATCCTCAAAGACCCGAACAAGCAGGTCATCCGTGTCTACAGCCTGCCCGATGGCACCTTCAGCTCTGATGAAGATGACGAGGATGAGGAAGAGGAGGAGGAGGAGGAGGAAGGTGGGTAGCAAGCCCCTGAAGTCCAGAGGGCTGGAAGGGAGCAGCACGAGGACCAGCCCCATCCATGAAAGGCTGGGGACCAAGGTCTTAGAAGGAAGCAGCTGGGGAAAGGCCAAGAAGGGCCTGGTGCCAGCCAGTGGTGTAGAGGAGGAAAGGCCAGCTCCTGCCAGTTACCCACCTGCAAGCTGTTTGCCAGCCTCACCATCTGGAGTGTGAGGCGCTGGCCCAGTCCAGTGAGGATCTGGAAGGCCCAGCTCCTGAGTGGGGGTGTTGAAAGTTCCTGAGCAGTTCGTAAAAGGTTCAGACATAGGAAAGTAGGCTTCACGTCAAACAGTATAGCTCATTTCTCTTCATGTTTTGTGTCTTTCAGAGGAAGAAACTTAAACTAGACTGATGTGGAACCAGAATTTATCATTCTACCAGTCCTGGGAGGGCCCTTGATACCTACAGGAGAGTCCATCTGTCTCCTGCTCTCTGCCAGTTGGCAGATGGAATAAAGATGAAGTCTGCTTAGTCTGTTTCCTTCATCATATGCCTCCATTCGGGATGTACGGCCCTGGGACTCAGTGGGTTCTGTCTAGAGTTCATCCACTGGGTTCCATTGTGTATTCTTGGGCATTGTTAGACTTATGTACCTGCTAACGGGTAAATTGTGTAGTGCTTTGTTCTGGGAATCCCTTAAAATTACCCTTCCATGAGTAAGGGATAGCTCCATAAGGAGCCCACTGGCCCAAGCAGGAGGGCCAGCCGCTGTGTGTGCAGCCCTTGGCTTAGTGTCTAAGAAGCACTGGGCATGGATCATTATTAGAAATGAAGGTGGGGGGACAGCTCAGGAAGAACACTGCCATTGACCGAAGGACTTCTGGGGGTGACTAAATGCTTTCTAAACCCGTTTTCACACTTAGCCTGGGCCGGTGACATCTCAGCCAGTGCCCACAAAGTCGTGTGTCCTGAATAAGAGCTCTGAAGTTTAGGCTATTTGGACTTTTTAGTGGACACTATTCTGTTCTGAATACTGTGATGAACAAATTACCCTGCCAGAATCACTAAAGTAAGCTTGCTGTGAGCCTCCACAGAACTAATGCAGGTGAACAAACAGGCTTAGCTAAAGAAATAGAATTCCTAAAAGTATAGTCATTTTTTTTTTCCCTTTTGGATTGAACCCAGGGGTATTCTACCTCTGATACAACCCCAGGCTTTTGTAGGGCCTGTCTCTTAAATTGCCCAGGCTGGCTTCAAACGGGCTCCTGCCTCAGCCTCCCAAGTAGCTAGGGTTATTGGGATTAATAGGCCAATGCATCAGGTCCTAAAGTTAGAACTGTAATCAATCTAACTGCCTCAACAAGCAAGCAGGCAATAGTTTGGGAAGCTTTGCTGTCAGGCATAGTGAAAAGACCAGCAAATGTGCTTGAGTTTTCAGTACAGAGTGAAAAAAATACACATTCAGGTAGTGACAGGTGCTATGGAGTTGGACTTCCGGACTAAACTTCATCACATTGCCTCTCAAACCAATCCAGAGGATTAACTGAATCAAGCGAGTGGAATTCACTGTCAAGCTCATTCTCAGTCTTCACAACTACCATGAGCTAGACATCCCTGCCTTCTTTTTGATGAGATATTTTGCCTTGCCTGTCAAGCTCCAATTCTAACTTTTCTGTAATTGGTGTGTGTTTGCAATACAAAGCTCCAAGTCTTTCTTTTTTTTTTCTTTTTTTTTTGTACCTGGGATTGAACTCAGGATCTTGTGTTTGCCAGGCAGGCACAGTGCCTCTGAGATAAATTCCTGAGCCCTACAAAGCTTCAGTCTTGATCAACACATGCTTACTGTAGAACTGCTGCATGCCAACTAGTAGAGAGAGACGAGGTCACCACAGTGACTACAAAACACACTTTCTGCACTTATGGAGCTTTTCTCGTGTTAAAACAGCATGAAGAAGACAGCATTTCTTTTCTTTTTTTTTTTTTTGCGTGTGCCAGAGATCAACCTCGGGTCCTTGTGCTTGCAAGGCAGGTGGTGGAACCACTGAGCTAAATCCCTAGCTTGACAGCTTTTCTTAGTGGGTACTTAGAACTGAGAGGTCAGGAAAGATTCTAGAGCAGTCCCCACTGCACTTTAATGAGAAAAGCAGCAGCCATCCAAGCTGCGAAATTCTTTCCATATGGTCTTCCCACAAGAGCCCTCAACTGCGTTTCATGTGAGTACTTGATGTCCTTTGAAAGTTTTGGTGCTTCCCTTGAGCAGGTCTTTTACTCTGTCCAGGTAAGTTTTGTATGAGTTGACCCAGACCACCACACGGACAAAGGACACACACACCAGCAGCCATCCCGATCCTCTTGTTTGCACTGTCTCTCTCTTCTGCCCTGCACACTGTGTCCACTGCGCTTCAATTCGAGTCTCCATCTCAACTGTGATCTTGGAGCAGGACCTAGAAGTTGGGCCTGCAGATGTCCAATGGGGAACTAAAACTAGAATGAAGCTTATCTGTTTATTACCTTAAAACTTTGGGCCAGATCCTTGCTCAGCACCTAGGCATGTTAATCACTTAAGGAGTGCCTGGGAGCTTACCCAGACTATCTCTCTTTAAAACAGGCCACCAAGATAAGAGTAACTCGTGTCCAGGACTTGCAGGGACACCCAACTGCCAGCTTTTATTATAGCCCAGACCCCTGAGACTGATGCCTAGTAATCTGTCCTAAACTTGCAGCCTCTTGGGTTCCAGGTAAAGAGCTTCGCAGACCACCCCATGATTAGGTCACCACCCAAGCAGGAGCAATTACCCTGGCAGGAACCAAGCTGCCCCCCCAAGCACAAGCTTTCCAACTCAGGATGGAAATCAAATTGTGCTTGAAGCTATGACAGCTCTCTCTGGAACCAGCGCTGAGATAACCGCTCAACCATCAGCCAGTGACATTACCTACACTGCCAGCTATGCAAAACCTGCAAATATGCAAGGCCTCAATCCTTGCCTTTAAAACCTCAAAGCTTCTGCCAAGCCCTAGGAGCCATGTCTTGAACCTCTTTGGATTTCCCATTAAGGCCTCGCTGATTAAAAGCTCCTTTCCTATCTTCACCACTGTCCACTCCTAGAGGGCTGGCGGAGCCTTGGAACTCCAAGAGCTGGGCTTTTGCCCTAGAGCTCAGGTAACAATCTTAAGCAATCTGTTATCTCGAAACATACATTTGGCTAGCCACCCAGCTACATGTTGGAAACAGACTCCTTTCTCTGCTCCTCCTGGTTACTGGAAGCCCAAGTCAGCCTCGAGTGTTACTCTGTAAACAATACACTTAATCACAGTAGCAAACACGTATTAACTGGTTTATAGGTCCTGGCTTCACCACCATAGATTCCAGTCCCACAAAACCGGGTGGGCCAAGTAGTTTCAAATTATTTAGTGTCTGGCTACATTGGGGGAGCAATGTGACAACTGGGATTATCTCCAAATGTGTCCCCATCCCTCATACTGGAAGAGGCGAATTTTTAAAACAACCTACTCTGTCCCAGCCTACCACTCCAGATAAGCAACCCTACCCGCGGAGCCTCCTAACCCCACCCTCTGGCAGCAGCACGTGCGCACCACTCCCCCCGCCCGGCCCAGGGTCTAGCCAGCCCCTCCCAGCGTGCCGCGCGCCGAGCACGTGACCTCGCCCCCTCCCATTTGCCGGGCCGGAGGGGCGGGGCTACCGCCGCGGCTCGAGCGAACCCGCGCCCCTCACGCTACTGCGGCCTGCAGTCCGAGTGGTGGGGAGGTTTGTGCTCCGGGGCCGCGGCAGTCGGTGGCCTGGGACGGGAGCGCGGCCTGGGCACCGCGAACGCGCAGGCAGCAGCTACCTGTGCGGTCACCGGCAGGCAAGAGAGCTACCTCGCGTGCGCGGTCTGTCGGCGGAGGCAAGTGTGCTAGAGCATCTGGGTCACGTGACTGGGGCGGGGCGAGGTCTTTCAGGGGCGGGGCACTTCAGGCCACACCTCCTTCAGGTTCTAATCGGAGGGCGGAGGCGTGGCCAGGGAGATTTGTGCTCCTGGTGGGTCCAGCCTGCGAAAGGCCTCTGGGTGTGTGGTCCTCGTTGGCGGGGAAAATTGCGGGAGGGACTTCATGTGCTACTCAGAGTGGAGGCTACCATGATAATAAGGGAAAGAAGGACCTGGAGATGGGATGCAGAGTTCCAGGACTCCTGCGCGCCCCAGATCTCACCCGGGAAAGACGGAGCCCCCTCAGATGAGCTCCAAGGCCCGCCCTGCCTCTAACTGGGCGTGCTTCCTCGGAGCGCGGGGCTGTGCCTCTTGCCAGGCTCGGAGTTGCAAGGCGTCCCCTCTGGTCTGCCGCAGGATGGACCTCTCCGCCGCAGGATGGACCTCTCCGCCGCGCTCTGGTGCCCCCTGGGGCTGCTGCTGACCCTCGCCCTGAACCCGGCCTTGGGCGCTCACACGCACAGGGACTACTGCGTGCTGGGTGCGGGCCCCGCTGGGCTGCAGGTGGCTGCCTTCCTGCACCACGCCGGCCGGGACTACGAGATGTTCGAGCGCGCTCCTGCACCCGGCAGCTTCTTCACGCGCTACCCACGGCACCGCAAGCTTATCAGCATCAACAAGCGGTACACGGGCAAGAACAACGTGGAGTTCAACCTCCGCCACGACTGGAACTCTCTGCTCAGCCACGACCCCCGGCTGCTCTTCAGACACTACTCCGGAGCCTACTTCCCCGATGCCGGTGACATGGTGCGCTACCTGCGCGATTTCGCAGACAGACTGGGGCTCCACGTGCAGTACAACACAAATATCGTCCATGTCACTCTGGAGAAGGACCGGCGGGCCTGGAATGGCCACTACTTCATCCTGACCGATCAGAAGGGCCAGATGTACCAATGCAGGTAAGGTGCAGGGTCACCTGCTAAGCCTGGAAGGCTTTTGCTAGAAGGAAGCCATCCCCATTCCCCCTGAAATTACGATGAAAGGATGGAAGGGGGCATTTCACTTCTTGCTTGAAATTCAGTGCCAGAAGGTTCAGCTCAGCCACCGTCTAAGTGCGCTCTTAAAAACTTTGTGGTCAAGTGTTTGGGAAATGCTAACAGTCCCCTTCCATCGAGATTTGTCCGTCTCTGTTTCACTGATTCTCCCGTGTTGAGTATTCGGTGTAAGCACAATTTATGTAGCCACAAAACTTTTCCTGTAAGAGCACCTCCTGGAACTGGTGTTTCCAAACGCTGGGGAGTGTGGGGTCAAGTGTCCCACGTGTATTAGATCAGCCTGTGGGATTTCAAACCGAACAAGAGTTGGAGGTTCAACTAGTGCTTCCAAAGACCAGTTTTAGCCAGGTGTGGTGGCACACACTTGTAATCCCAGCCCTCAGGAGGCTGAGGCGAGAGGATTGCCACAAGTTTGAGACCAGGCAGGGATACATAGTGAGACTCTGTCTCAAAGGCGGGGGGCAATTTTAGTTGTTTGGTGGGGGGGCAGCCTAATACTGTGTGTACAGTGGGGTACCCCAAACTTCCTCAATCACCACAAGGAGTGGGGGAGTTTGTCAGTCCCCTTTGGACACATGCAGACCTAGGGCTCAGAGGAGCTGAGTAGTCAGATGCTGTCACACAGCTGATACATGGTGGAGCTACGATTTGAGCTATTTTCCGACTCCAAAGCCAGTGTTCTTCCTGCTGCACCCAAATGCCTCTCCTTTCCTGACCATTAGCCTTGCACCTGGCTCCAGGCAGTGCTTAGCCCGTGTTCACCTGCCTGACACCAGGGCCAGCACTGCTCCTTGTCTGTTTCGCTCCAGGCAGAAGGTGTTTGCCGATTTGTACTCTTGCATCTTAGGCAGGTGTGCCACAGTGGGAGAGAACCCAAGAGGAGCAGAGCAGACAAGAAAGTGGGGACCAGTGGGCCATATGTGCCCCTTCCATAGCACAATCTATTCTGCTGTGAAACCTCCCTGTGGTCAAACTGTTCTTCAGGCTAGCAGGATCCACCTCCCCAGCCGCCCACTACCAGATTGTAATCCCCACCCATCAGTGAGCAGGATTTAGGAATCAGACCGACCTGTGCTCAGATTCTGGCCCTGCTGTCCTTGAAATCCCTCTAGGCTGTGGGCTGCAGGGCCTGTGTCTCCTCACCTGTAAAGCTGGCCACATAATGCCAGCTCAGGCTCGCTTGGGAGCAGATGTCATGATGCACAAACCCACTAGCACTGGGCAGGTAACCGAGCGCCACTGGGCAGGTAAGTGTCCCTGCCAGGCACGACAAGGGGAAGCACAACATCAGATTCTGTTCTCATTGCCCAGCGGGATACTTAGTCCCACTGCCATGTTCAAAGTGAGAATTTTTCAGTGTCTCATAGCATCATATTCTCCCAGTCAGAGTGGAGCTAATTCCCACATCTGGCATATTTCCAGCCCGGCATAAAGGAAAGTATACAGCTGGATTGTGGGCTCGAGGAGGCAGCGGGGGTGTCCCGGTCCCCTGGGATAGGTCAGCATGGTGAGTGAGTGAATGAATGCGCCCTCCTGTTTCCTTCAGGAGCCAGCAGTTGAGGCGAGGCAGGAGAGTCCAGAGAGTTGCGTTTGCTGAGTGATATCAGTCTGTGATGCTGAGCCATCTTTCCTCTCCCCACCTGCAGTGTCCTCCTTGTAGCCACAGGTCTGTCAGTCCCCAACCAGGTGGACTTCCCAGGCTCCGAGTATGCAGAGGGTTATGAGTCTGTGTCTGTGGACCCTGAGGACTTTGTGGGTCAGAATGTGCTGATCCTGGGTCGGGGGAACTCGGCCTTTGAGACGGCGGAGAACATCTTGGGTGTCACAAACTTTATCCACATGCTGAGCCGCTCCCGGGTGCGGCTGTCCTGGGCCACCCACTACGTTGGAGACCTCAGGTATGCTGCATCCCTGCTTGTGTATTCCATACCCTTGCATCAGGCTGTCTTGTGTTCCTGTAATGAAATACCTGAGGCTGGGTGATTTAGAAAGAGAAGAGATTTATTTAGCTCATAGTTGTGTCCAAAAGTCCAAGCGGCATGGTGCTGGTTCTAGTAAGTCTCCCCACTCCCAAGCTTGCATCTCCTCCTAGCAGATGGCATCATGGTGACAAGAGAGGGACCTGTCACATGGTGAGACAGGAAACCAGAAACAGGGCAGGGGGCAAGCTTGTTACTTTCATGACAACACTAGCTACAACTCCAGGAATGCATGAGAAATACCTTCATCTCTTACCAGGGCAGTGACCCGGGGGAATCTCCCACTAAGCCCCGCCTCTTAAAGGTGCACTACCTCCCACTGGGGCACTGGGAACCCAGCTTTCAACACACGAGCCCTTGGGAACACAGCACATCCAAATCCTAAAAGTGAGCAGAAGCTCCTCTCCCACCTTTCCTGGACTCACCAACCCTGCTCTGAGTCCCCTTGTCCTCTCCTTGCATTCTCTTGGGACCCCAGAGCCATCAACAATGGCCTGCTAGACACCTACCAGCTGAAGTCCCTGGACGGACTTCTTGAGTCGGACCTGAGAGATCTGGCCATCGTGAAGGATGCCGAGGGCAAGTTCCACATCACCCTGGGGTTCTTCCTGGAGATGACCAATGCTAGTCAGAGTGCCACCTCCATCCCCCTGCCTCAGGATGACAACGACAACTTTGCCATGCGTGTGGCCTACGACCGGGTCATCCGCTGCCTGGGCTGGAAGTTCGACTTCTCCATTTTCAACCAGTGAGTCCGGATTGGGGAGGAGGTAGCTCTCTTAGTAAACCCTTCTGACCCTCCATGAGCAGCCCTCAGTGAGCCTGGGGCAGGAGCACTGTCCACTGTCGGTCCTGGGTGATGCTGAGCTCCTCTTATCTGGGCAAGGACCTCCACCTGTGACATGGCCAGGCCAGCTCAGCCGTGTGATATTGGGCTTACACAAAGGCTAGCAGCACAGGGGCTCAGGGCCCAGGCTCCGGATCAGCCTGTGTCTCTGCTAACCCAGTCTGTGAGCTCTAGAAAGGTTACTTTCCCCCACACCCCCCAGTTCTTCATCTCTACAGTGGGGTTAATAATCTGTCTCATACACTTATTATGAGGTTAATGTAAGAGTACTTAACATAAAAGTTTGCTAAAACTATTTGTAATTGTATTTTGAAGAATTGCTTCGCTGAGTCTGGTTTTTAGATACTGCTGCCCAGTACTGTGTGAGGCTTGGGGTTGAAGTATCCATCTAGTCTCTCATTTGCCTTGTGGCCAGGGCACAATAGGACAAGGGCCTGTCCAGACCCTCTTTCTTCCCATCAGGTGACCGCAGAGTCCAGCCTTGGTCAGGCTTGAATGCTGGCTCTGTTCCTGCCCTGCCATGTCATTGCCCTAAGTGTCAGTTACTTCAGCTGTGTGGCAAAGATGATTATCCCACCTCTGCGGGTCATGGTTAATCAGATGAGGGGTGTAAAGCACACACTGTGCTGGGCCTAGAACACATGCTTCACCCACAGCAGCTGCTGTTACTAACAGCCGTGTCCACTCCCAGGTCCCTGCGACTCTCCTCTGGGAGTGAGTTCAGCAAGAAGTACCCACTGATCAAAGCGAGCTATGAATCCAAAGGAAGCCGGGGTCTCTTTATCCTGGGTACTGCCAGCCACTCAGTGGACTACCGGAAATCAGCAGGGGGCTTCATCCATGGCTTCCGGTACACAGGTGAGCCTGGGTGCGAGGTCTCCTGTCCCCTGGCAGAACTACTTTCATTATTCCCAGGGCTTAAAACATGCCCCTGATTTCCAGGAGCATTAACAGGATTGCTTATAACATCCCTGGGGTTTCACCACATCAGCTAAAAATAGATACCTGTGTGGTGGCTGTGATGTTACGACCCCTGTAGGCTGAAGAATGCAGCCCTGGACTGAGGTCTTGGATGTGAGACTTTCACCTGGCTCAGCCCCTGACATTGGAGGTGTCCGAGAGGTGGTCTCTCCATCCTCAGGGTCACATAAGGTCATGTCTGGGCATCAGGCAGCTCTGAAACCTCAAGCACACGTAGACTCTTTGGGTGCTGACAGATTTCGATGAAAGCTGTAGTTGGATTATGTCAATTAAGTCTTTGTCAAAACTCAGAACTGAAGGTATAAATTTTCTGTTGACAGTGTTTGCATGTAAATACGAAAACATATTTCTTTTTAAATTGTTTGACTCATTGCACGAGAATAACCCCCAACCAGAAATTGCTACTTTGTGATTTTTAAGGGTGATTTTTTAAGGAAGTAAAAAATGAGAGGGAATAATGAATGTTGGGCACTTTCAGTAAGCAGATCTCGGTGAACACATGGCCCTTCAGTGTCACCAGCTCCCTATAAGGTGGCTGTGAAACCTTCATACTTCCTTTTTTCCATTGATTTATTCACTCGTTCATTTATAGAGATCTCTTGCTGTGTTGCTCAGCCAGGCTGGTCTCAAACTCATGAGCAAACTAAAGTGATCCTCCTGCCTCGGCTTCCTGATAGCCTGCACCACAGGTGCACTCTACCCCACACCCAGCTGGAGCCCCAATTATTAGTGGAAAAATAATTCTCCCAGCCAAGACTGGTCATACTATGAAAAAGATTATTAGGAAGGATTGAGCATGAACAGCAGCATTGTAAATATGAGCATCTCACACAGGAAGCTCCGGTTACCCTAACTTAGCTGGAATGAAAAGACTTAAAGCAGTACCTACTCTTTCAGCTCTAGCACCAGAGCACATGTAATATGCTGATAGCTTTGTGATTCGTAGAGAATGATTAGTGGTTTATGAACAGAAGTAGAAGGGAAAAGTAGCTGAACAAGCATGAGACTGATCTAAAGACCAAGTCCTAAGGTGAAGTTCATATTGGATTCCACATTCAAAGGAGCAGCTTCAGTTCTGCTGAAGCTTCACTCTCCTTTTTTACCCCACCACTGAGAGAGTAGATGGAAGTTGACTATAGGGCATTTAGGTGTTAACTGAATTTCCCTTGGTAGAGTCCACCAATCTAGTAAGGATTTGGTTTAAAGTGGTTGGTTTGCATTCAGTGGATGTAGAGTAAGTCTGTAATCCTCCAGGATAAGGCATTCACTTGAGACTCTGGACACTCCTGGTCTGTGAGATCTAAATTCCTAGACTAGGAGCCAGGGATTTAACTCAGTGGTGCTGCCTCTCCTGCCTCACAAAGTGCAAGTACTGGAGTTTGATCCCCCGTACCATCACCAAAAATAAAAAAATTCCTAGTCCAGTGTCAACGATATTAATGGCAGGGGGAGAGAAAAAAAAATGGTAGTTTCGGGCCAGGAATTCAGCTCAGTGGAGCTGCCACCTGCCTCACGAGCACGAGGTCCTGAGTTTGATCCCCAGTACCAAAAAAAAACAAAAACAATTACACTTGCCGTGTGTTATGACACTCCTGTATTCCCATCTACTCAGGAACCTAAGGCAGAAGGGTGATGGGACCCTCAAGGCCAGCCTGGCTAACTTAGCAAGACCCTGTCTCAAAATAAGATAAAAATTTTGAAGGGAACTAGGGATGTAGCTCAGTGGTAGAGCACCTGCCTAGTATGTGCAAGGTGTGGGTCCAATCCCTGGTACCACAAAAGACAAGTTGGTAGTGTGACAGGTGATGGTAGAACGAATTTTTTTTTTCAATTGTCATTTATTTTTATGTGATTGGTTGTTGGAAATATTGTTAAAAATGTGGGGTATATTAATCATATGTGAAAATAAAAATAATGCTAGAACAGCTATGAATGTTGGCATAAATAATGCTACCTTTTTTATCTTGATTATTTGGGTAACAATCCAGTGAGTGGAGGTTGGAATAATAGCCGATAAAGATTATAGAGATGAGCAGTGGTGTTCTGTTTCATGTGTATGATGAGTATAATGTTACAGTGTTTAGGTTAAATATGGATAATGTAATTGTTAATATGACATAAGTCTTCATTTTTCCAAAGGAACACCCTAAGGATCAGAGTTTTAACAATTTCCTCGCTTTTACAGGAATTGCACTGCAGACCCAGGGTCTTTTTTCAAAATGTCTGCTCTTCTGGTTTCTTCTTTTTTGGTACCGGGGATTGAACTTGGGTCCTTGCGCTTGCAAGGCAGGCCACCGAACAGCTGAGCTAAATCCCCAGCTCTTCTGGTTTCTTGATAGCAGACCAGAGCCCTCCCTTTGGGGAGGAGCAATCTGGAGCGTGGAGTGTCCCCATCCTGTCACACACCTGGTGGGGAGTGACAGCCTCTGTGGCTGTGGTTCTTACACAAACTCATTTGAGTAGCCTGGGAATCAGCTCTCAACCCTCCTACACCCACGCTTGCCTTTGTAAACAGGAAGTGACAGCAGAAGGTCCAGCTAGCAGCCTCACAGCCCCTGCAGCTGGTGGCACCTCGGGTGGCTCCTCAGGCTGTTTTGTGTATGCTGTGGGGCTGGGCGCCTGCTGCTCCATAATTAATTATGCCATAAAAACCATAAGGGACTTGTGTCCAGCTTCCCGACTTCTCCATATGTATTTAATCCGCTGCCTCGCGTTGCCTCAGTGCTTGACATTACATTTTATTGCCCTGCCAGTTTGGCAGAGATGATCGTGTTTTGCTGTTGATTTCCAGCCCATAGATCTCATACCCCACATGTGTTGTTGGGGAAAGAAACTTGGAAGAGGGCTATAGCCATCTGCAAACCAAAATGATTCCCAGGCTGCCTCACTCCTGTGCCGATGCCCTCCCTGTCCCACTGTCCTGGCACACACCATTCTGTTTGTCCTGCCTCCTCTGTTCCCCATTCTTCCCCAGCTCACACTTCATCCTCAGCCCCATGAGACAGAGCCTGTTATTTCAACCCCACTTTCTAGTGAACAGAGAAGTTAAGTAGCCTGGCCAGAGTCATGCAGCCAGGGAATGGTAGGTGGATTTGAATCCACCCTGTCCCACTAGAGCTTACACATAAGCATTAAGCTTCAGGCAGAAGAGGAGCAGTCCTCGGTGCATGGGCACCAACTGCTGTGGTCCCTGAGCAGTTGATGGGCCTCCTAGTGGGAGGGACAGGAGGGAGTCTGTCCCTTGTTGCAAGGATCTGCCTGGACCTTGCTTATTGTTCAGCTGAGGAACAGTCCCAAAGGAAGTAAGACAGGAAGGCGAAGTAAGGTGACAGCGACAAAGATGGTGGCACAGACTACCGGCATGTGGAGGTAGGACATGCTAGAAGCCCTGTCCCTTCCTCCTGAATCATTCTGCCACTGCCCCTACCTTGCCCTCTCCTGTGATGGGCCTCTCTGCCTCTCCTGACTGGATGGCCATCCTGCCACTGGCCGTGCCAACTTCCCATTGAATGTATAGTACCAGAAATATAAAAACTTACCTTTCTTTTTCAAATACTGGGGATGGAACCTATGGCCTCACACATGCTAGGCAAGTGCTATACCACTGAGCTACATCCCCAGCCTTTTTTATTTTTTGTGTTGAAACAGGTTTTCTCTAAGTTGCCCAAGCTGGCCTTGAACATGTGATTCTCCTGTCTCAGCCTCCTGAGTACTTAGGATTGCAGGTATGCTATAGTGGCAAAATCTTTCTTCTGAGACAGAGTTTCACTGAAGTTAGGCTGGCCTAAGGCTTTTGATCATCCTGCCTCAGCCTCCCAGGTAGCTAGGATTACAAGTGTGTGCCTCCACTTCTGGCTCAAAACAATTTTTTTTCTTTTTTATTTCTTTCTTTTTTTTTTTTTTTTTTTTTAAA